ATCTCTCGTATGAGGAGAGGCTGAGTGAGCTGGGCCTGTTTTCTCTGGAGAAGAGACGGCTCAGAGGGGATATGATTAATATGTATAAGTTCAGGAAGGGAGTATGCAGGGAGGAAGGGGGGGACAAGCTGTTCTCACTGGTGGCCAGCGATAGGACGAGGGGTAATGGCCACAAGCTGGAGCACAGGAAGTTTCGTCTCCAGGTGAGGAGGAACTTCTTTACTGTTAGGGTGACAGAGCAGTGGAACAGGCTGCCCAGGGAGGCTGTGGAGTCTCCTACTCTGGAGGTCTTCAAAACCCACCTGGATGCCACCCTGTGCCACATGCTGTAGGTGTGCCTGCTTGAGCAGGAAGGTTGGACTAGATGATCTCTAGAGGTCCCTTCCAACCTTAAATATTCTGTGATTCTGTGATTCTGTGATTCTGTAAATAAAACTCTCTCTTGATTGGAGAGATGCTGCTGATGATGATAGACTTGCAACTTTAATCAAACAGAGATCAATGCTCATTTGCCTCAGCTGACTCCGTTCTTGAGGAAGACAGACATGCCAACATAGTATATCTTCTCCAGATATCCCAAAACTTTCAGTAGTTAGCTAGAATTTTGTCTGTAATCAACTGAATCACACCTAAAGTTGGCTGAGCTATTTTAAAACTATTTTTATGTCCCCTTCAAATCTTCATTTGATGGAACACTTTTTAAAAAAKAAATGAATCTGAAACTTTTTTATGATGACTCTAAAAATTTTAAAAACTCTCCTCAAGAAAAGTCTTTACTATTTTTTTTAATGATCAAAATATGAAGCACAGAAAGTTGTTCTCTTCCATTCCCCTCCCACCTCCTGTGCATTGGCACCGTCGTACATCGGTTTTACATCTTGCATCACAAATGTCTTTTCTAAATATTAGTGTATTAGAGCTCTTTACTATTGTATTTTTGTGAAACAATACAGAAGGTTAACTCTGCCCCAATTTAAAGAAAAATGTTCTGAGGGTTTCCCTCTCTTCCTCTCATCACCATTCACATAAGAGCCAAGAAAGTCAAATCAACCTACATGGTCAAAGGAGAAGGAAAAAGTAATAAATTAATATAACTGGAGCTGCTGCTGCTGGGAAGGTCCACCATAATCTTCCCTACTCAAAATAGATAGAAATGTGTATTACTGTGAAACTTTGGAAGAAGTTGATAGATTAGTATTTTATGTTCATGTCTTGCCAATATTTGCTGTAGGGAAACCCCAGTGCTGTACTCCTTACTTGAAGAAATAAACAAGAAGCAAGTACTTTAATCAAAAAATCCCTTACCTCCCATGCTATTACTAATTCATGTCGCCTTCCACTTCTGCCACTTACATTAGCTGGAGGTGTCTTTGGAACTGTGAACAAAAAGAGAGAGAGAAAAAAGAAATCAGAATGTCCAAGTTATTGAAGTTTTCCCTCTAGTAATAAGCTGCTGCTGAAGTCAGAAATTTGTTAAATCAGAACAGAAATAACACGTATAGCACTCTGAAGTAAAGAATATTTGTTGAAGTTTCCTGTTTTCATCACAGAGAATCCCATAATCAAGCTGGTAAATTCAAACAAACCACGAGCTGAGAAGAAAAATAATATCAGAATAAAAAGTTACTTAAACACTATTTCTTGTGCAAATTAGTAAGAATTTCAGTGCAGAGGCCATCTGAGAACAAGTCATTAGTGATTTATATGTTTTAGTTTCTTTAATCTACCCTGATAYGCCTTACTGGGTTCCCATTTTGAAATATTTTGAGTTAACTATCCTTAAAAAAAACACCCTTCCCACTTCATGCAAAATACTGAAAGCAGAATAATTTACAGCTTTTAAACTGAGACCATTATGTCTTCTTAAGCTATTTTGTAACAATGTATGTAACTATGCAGCTGACATAGCAGATGTAAGAAGATAATGAAATTCTTCAAAACATTTATAAGTATCACCAGCAGTTTACATTGAGTTTAATTTATTCTGTAAAATTTTAGAAATCTGAGTTGTTTCATTGGAATTGTACAATTTCTTTTGTCTTATGTAAAACACAATGAAGGTCCTAAAATGAATAATGTATCTTGAGTTTATCTGAGTAGATAATTCCTGCATTATCTGATTGTTTATTTCATTAAATATATCTTAACACATGAGTTTTTGCTTTTCTTCCTTGCAGCAGTGCATAAATCATTGGTAGAAATGTATTGCGAGGCATTATTGGTTAGGACTCTATTTCATGCTATTTAGCTTATTTATCAAGTAGCATTGTGCCTTTGAATCACAAAAGAAAAATACATTCAAGTAACTACACCCAGTCCTCTCTATTTTCCCTACCATTCATTAAGGTCTCAAGTTCAATTAAAGCACCTTTATTACTAGATACAGGAATTATAGAACTATAGAATCATAGAATCCCTAAGGTTGGAAAGGACCTCCAAAGATCATCTAGTCCAATCCCCCTGCACACACAGGGTTACCTAGAGCAGGTGGCACAGGGCTGCGTCCAAGTGGGTTTGGAAGATCTCCAGAGAAGGAGACTCCACAACCTCTCTGGGCAGCCTGTTCCAGTGCTCTGTCACCCTCACTGTCAAGAAATTTTTCCTCGAGTTCCTGTGGAATTTTTGGTGATTCAGTTTGTGGCTATCTAGTCCTATTGGTGGCCACCACTGAAAAGAGACTGGCCCTCACTACCTCCCTTGAGGTATTTATGCACACTGATCAGATCTCCTCTCAGTCTTCTTCAGGCTGAACAGGCCCAGCTCTCTCAGCCTTTGCTTATAGTTCCAGGCCCCGGATCATCCTTGTGGCCCTGTGCTGGACTCTCTCCAGCAGCTCCACGTCTCTGAAGTTTACCTAAAAGTTCAGAAGTAATCTACATAGTATATTTTGACCTCTGCACTTCCCTTTAAAGAACAAGGAGTTCTTTATTTTTAAGCTCTATTTATTTATTTATTTATTTATTTATTTATTTACTTCTATTTTGATAACTGATGCAGTTCCACAAAGATTAAGAATGTCTTCCAATTTACACTGTTGTAGATGTGAATGAGATAACCATTATAAAAATATCTCTAATATCAAATTTTTGTCCTTGTATCTATGTTTCTTATGAGACTGATATGGGAAAATACTAGCATGTGAAATATTTCTCTCCAAAAAAGTATTTTTCTTTTGTGTTCTCTTCCATTTTAAAATCTTTTTTCCTCCTTTCTTTCACAGATTCACAGATTCACAGAATATTTAAGGTTGGAAGGGACCTCTAGAGATCATGTAGTCCAACCTTCCTGCTCAAGCAGGCACACCTA